TTTAATTACTGTATATGAAAGTATAATAATTTTAAAATTTTAGTGAATTATACCCTGATAAAAAACAAGAGTTACTAAAACTTAGAATTCATTTATCTGAAGTAAGTGGTGAGTTAGCACCACTTAAAGCTTGGCAATTTCAAGAATTAAGCTTACAGGCAGCTCAAAGAATAATGAGTGGACCACCTCAAGACGCTATTCAAACATTCATTCACATAGCTCAAAATTTTCCAACTCAAGTAAAAATTTTTTTCATTGATTCACATATTTTATTTCATAATAGTCAAAACTAAATATTAATATCTTTTAGGCACGTTCATTAGCAAATATTAAAGTTAGTAAAGAATTAAGAAATGAAATTGCCAAAAACCAAGATAGTTTTTCAATGAATTTAAATTTGCAACCAAGTGACACCATAATGTTGTTAAATGGAATGTATTTTGACACTGATATGACTGATATGTCCACTATATTAGATACAATTACTCAAGAATTGCAAATAATGGAAGGGTTATATTCCATAGGTAAACATTATTGTTTTATATATAGCCTTTATTAAAATAATAATCAGCTCAACAGTTGTAAACAATTAGTAGAAAAATGTAACAGTAACAATACTGTGTTATAAAGGTACTAAACATTATTGTTAAATATAAAAATTTTAGCATTATGAATTTTGAAATTCATAATGATAAAAAATTTTGTTCAAGATAGTTATTGTCTGATAAGTCTTAATATTAAGGCGTCTGGGTACCGACCTTTTTTCAGGGGTCAAGTATAGGCAATTTTGCAGTTTTTTACATGTTACGCAATGTCGTTATGTGAGAAATAAATGATTATTAGTGTGAGTGTCCATTATTGGTAGTATTTTCGTCGTGTTATAATCGATAACAAAACTGGTTGTGTACCTGCCTTACTTTTTGATGCAATACAATTATATTGATAACGACACATGTTTATTTTATGTAGTCTTTTATGTAAAAACTATAGTTTAGCACCAGCCTCACTGTAAATACTAATAGACGCGTCATGATTTCACAAATTTTAATTGATTATAAAAATAATTAAACTATTTATTTTTGACGAATAAGAAAAACTAAATATTTACAGAAAACAAGTTAAATCATATGAGATCCACATCGATTATTTTGAAGTTATAAAACTATAA